GTACTGGATTGGTAAGCTGCACCTGTGGTTGTGCAGTTTTTATTGAACTCAACCAGACTCACAGTGCCAAATTGGCTAAAATCAGAAATTAAGTGCAGCCATACCCAGCCCCTCTGATCACTAAGGACCAGCTCGGACACAAGGGGGTTTATTTTCTGCCAAATTTCCATACTGTTAGCAGCAGAAAAACGGGTGAAGAAAGAACAGTGGCACCCCAGCACCACAGGAAACCTCTAATCCAGAGGTGATTTGCTGTTCATCAAAGACTGCCTGTACAGTGGTGTGATCTCATTCTTCACCCACTTTCCCAACTCCTACTTTACTTTCCAAACAACTCCAGAGAAAACGCTGACTTTAAAGAAGGCGGCATCTATGCATAACATTTTGTCATTTTCTCTAATTTTCTGTCTCCACTTTTCTAATCACTGCCAATGCTGTCTTCAAGTCTCAATTGCTCTATTTTTTATCTAAGCCTACACAAGCCTTTTTATGGTAGTGTTCTGTTCATTTACGCATTATTTCTTTGCTAAAACTTTCCAATTATTTTGTCTTTAGTTAAAAGACTTCATTTCTTCAAATTTACCCTGGGCAACTTCATTATTTTCCTTTCCAGCTATCTATCCAGTGTCAATTATGGGCCCATTTTTTGCTGTGTTACCAAAGCAATGATACTCAGTCCAGTTTTCTAACTGAGTGATAACAGCGCTTGACTCACAATTCATTTTTTTTAATTGCTCATGGACTTCAATCTAATTTGTGAAATTCATTTCTATTTTAAACACAACGAAGTGGAAACGTGGTGATCTCTGAAATGAGTGGAGGCCATGAATACAGGCATCATTGCCCCCCTGTCCACTTTGACCTCCTTTTGCTTGTTGCCAGGGCTGTCTACTGTAAAAAGGGTTCAATACAAATGGGTGATTTTTATTGATAAATGTGCCTAGTTAGCAGCATTTCTGAGCCACTTGCCACCACTGAATCAAAGAACTGACCTTGATATAAGAATACTGTACCTCATTATGCTCAGAAGAATACTGAGAATAAACTTTTATTTTATAGGTCCTTATTTCTCATATTATTTTGTGATCCTCTATGCTTACAATGTATAAGTTGTTATACAACTTGTTATAGCAAAATAACAGCTTTAGATATTTTGGAGATACTTAGGTCTGGAGCTGAAAGCAACATGTGCATGTCATAATTACCTGACTAATTAATTAAACCTGAAGTTCAGGCTTAATTCCTTGAAATTTCATGAATCCTCATAACCTGGAGCCTGAATAGTCACGTCTCTGCTTCCCCGTGTGGTTTCCACTGTGAGGTGTGTGCTGCAGCAGGATGACAATGCTGATTCACGTTCCTTGGCCTGCCTGATGCATTGTAATCAAATTCCCATTCTTTCTGCAGGAGCTGTTTATGGCAGTTAACAAGGTAGAGCCAGGCAAAGTCCTTGGGGAAGGGAAAACCAGGAGAGCCCCAGCCTGTGCTGCCTCAAGCTCTGAAGCCTTCCTGTGGAAAGGCAGGCAGAGCTGTGCCAGTCATGCTGGATGTGACCTCCCAGCTGCCCGTACAGAGAAGGGTGTGGGGGCTCACACAATTGGAAGTCTATATGAACTAAATGTTTAAAACATTTCTTTTAATTATTATTTAGAGTTTCAGAGATTTCCTAAAAATGCCGCCAAAACCTAATGCAAGGGCTGTACATTTTTTCATACTACGCTAGTTTTTCCCACTTTTTGAGGGATGTATTACCTATACCACAAATAAAGTATCATAAATACTATACTAAGATAGCACAAAGTCATGCAGGTGACTGGCCCGTTTTCAGTTTGTTTGAGAGATCCTTCTTAGAACAAACAGTGTTCAGAAGGTGCCTTATCCCATGGTGAAAGGGAAAACAAGGGAAAAGAACTGCATTTTGGTCCTTTATGACCCTTTTGTGGTGAAAAACATGCGAAGCAGTAGAACTCTGGCCTTCAGCTTTCCCTGATGGCTCCAGCAGCAGTGCCAGCACCCCTTCCTCCAACAGGAATTTCATAGCCTGCTTCGAAAATGTAAGAACTTCAATAATAAATCCACAAAGGGCACCTTTATTTCAAGCTGTCAGGGGTTTGGATTTCTACAGGAAACATAAATAGCTGAATGCCCTTCAGTAGTTCATGCTGTTTAGATTTGTTTCAGACAATTAGGGTGAGGGTGGTGGGGCACTGGAACAGGTTGCCAAGAGAAGATGGGGATGTTCCATCCCTGCAAGTGTTCAAGGCCAGGTTGGGTGGGGCTTGGAACAACCTGGGATAGTGGAAGGTGCCCCTGCCCACAGCACAAGATGATCTTCAAGGTCCCTTCCAACCCAAATCATTCTATGATTCTGTGATAGTTAGAAAACATCAACCAATCTACTAAATTCCAGTGGGGTATGAATCACAACCCAGCCTTACCTGTCTCACACACTTGCTGTGCAGCAGCTCTCTGTGACATAGTGATATGAGCCTGCAAAATTTCAGTGTTCTTAAACTTCCTGAGCTGACCAGGTGAGAGGCTTTTTTATCTCCTCCTTACCTTACCTTACATTCAATGTGTCTTGCAGGGTGTTTTGTAGCTTAATACAATAAATGCTTTGCTGTCATGTTTCACAATAACACACACGCATGGGTTTTGTGCTTCCTACAATCCACCACTATTAATTTACATCAGGAAATAAATGTGTTTCATAAATACACAATAAGAAAAAAATCATTGCTCAAAGTCACTGCATCCTGAGGAGTCATATTGAGAATTATCTAACATAGAGCTCTCTGGAAAATAAGGAATTTTAAGTTTTATTATCCCTTTGATGCAAGTGACTAATGAAAGAATGGTATATTTTGATTAAGTGTAGAAACTAGTGACATCCTTGACAAATTATATTTATTCAGGACAATGTGCTGTTTCAGATGTGAGAGGGATACAAACAGCAGCTCTCTGCTCATGGCTACAACCCATTACTGCAGCCAGACCATCAACCCAGAAAATGGTTCTTCATTCTCTTCTGAGGTGTTTATGGAGATATAAATATATTTATTTATACATATATCTCAGTGTTCAGTCTTCTGAACACATTGAAGCTTTCCAATAGTCTTTCTGTTGCTGCTTCCTTTACTGAGCTGCTTTTCTCTTTCTTTCATTGCAAACCAATCTCAAGAATGTTTAGCTCAGAATCTATCCAAGTTTCTCTCTTATTATTTTAAATGGAGATAACTACCTCATACAAAAAGAATCTTTCACTGAGAAATCTGGAATAATTTAGGAGAGAGCTGAAGACTGTGTCATTACTCATATCTGGAGGAGTTTGTATTTGAATATTGCCAATTAAAAGTGCCCTTAGAAATAGCTGAAATAGGAATAACTTCTGAGGCTTGTGTTGCTTTCTAATTATATCTTGCTCAGAACTCAAGGTCCCACAGCACCCAGCACTAACAGAAGTTAGAAATGGCATGAATTCTTAGATGACTTTCACTGAACATTTTTCTAGCTTGCACTGAATTTCTAGTGATTCCATAAGTTTGACTACTCCCTCAATGGGCTTCAAGCATTTTGTGTAGGAAACAGTTTTGTGCACTTATTCTGCTTTTTTTTTGTCAGAAAGCTTTTCTGCTCTGAAACCAATGCTTCACTGGTTTTGATATCATTCAGTTGTTTCTAATCTTCTCTCTTTGATGTTTGTATTTTTAGCCATCTGAGATCTTATTTAGATCTTTTACTTAGTCACACTGATTCTGTTTAGCCTGCTATTATTTAGTAATTCCTGGCTCCTAGTAAGATTTGCTGCTCTTGGAATAAACAACAAAGGTTTAATAGTAGCTTTATTGATGCAGAAGTGGCAGGGAAGGAGAACTAGCTACTTTTGAGTTGGAGATGCCATGGCATGACTTAATTGTCCACATATTAAAATATTCCTGATATATCTGAAAGGCATCCCACATCCCTAAGAAAATTCCCCCGAAGTCATATCAAGGCAGGAGGGGACATGTCTATGTTGCCAGAGTTGTCATCATCAATTCTCATCCTTTGGGATCTTTTACCAGACAGCAGAGCCTAGGGCAGCCTTGGAGGTGCTCTGAGAGCATGGCAAGGCCATAGCAAGGGAGGGAACAAGCTGGATCCACTGTCCTGCACATCTTTCTGTTGCAGCAGCTGGAACTTTCTTACTGTGAGAAAAATCTGCTTTGAATATTCCCACTTCAGTCAACCAATACATTTAAATAGGAGAGTTCCACTCTGCTTCTTAAATAAATGCTCCTCCTTTCACAATCTGAGTAGCTACAACTTTCTTAAAAATAACCCACTGAATTTGCTTTTCCATGTGTCTTCCACCATTATTTCCTTCAGCCTTGCAACTTCACAGGGTTTTGTCAGAGGAACTAATTTTAGGCCCCAGCTCCTGCAAGCTGAGATATCAACACAGATTCAGGCCAGATTCTCAAAGGAGCAGCTGGGATTCCCAAAACATTAAATATTATAAAATTAAGTAACACTTATAAAATTTATAAAATTAATAAAACATTAAATTTCTATAAGATGAAGAATTAACCAAAGTAGATAGTTCACATAATCTCCTTGGCTCTGTCTGTTGCATAAACACAAACCAGCAGGGAACATTGTTCTCTCATTCAGTTTGCAGCTTACATAGGTGTCCATCTGTGCAGGCATGGACAGAGCAGCACTCCTAAGTGCCAGAAGGAAAAGGACTGTTTTATTGTGTGGTGCTAGTGAGTCAATGGGACCATTCAAAGTGACATTTAGTTATGGATGCTTGTTATTCAAGCAACAAGTAACTTGTGCTGCTGGAAAGGGTTCTGCCAGTGCAGTATTTCAGGTTTTCCCCCCCAGCACAAATTCCACACACACACAAACTTCATCTGGCTGGAGGCATCCATGTGAAGGCGGCATAACTGCATAGATTTTACAGCAATATTCCAGACTGACAGGCAGGTTGCTGGGAGCTGAACAGGACCTCTGATCTCCTGCTGACCAAGTAGGTGTTTGGTTTCAGTTCCATTGCTTTTTTCTTTCACAAGTGCATGGTTCTCCTGGGTGTTTTATTATCAAATTCTAGGAAGGAAAAAAAAAAAAAGCAGCAGATTTTTTATTTTTTGATGATTAATAATGTTGTTGGTGGGTACCAATTCGGTGTTTGTTTTTAGTTCCGGTGGTTTTTTCTTTTTCAAGTGGTTGTTTCTCGTGGTTTTTTTTTTATCTAATTTTTTGAATGAAGGCACAAACAATCCGTTTTTTTTTAATTTAACGTTACTTGTTTGAGTTGGTTTGGGGTGAGCTTACCTTGGGGGTTGTTATTTTGGTTTGTTCTGTCTTTTTTTCCTGGTAATTGTCTGGCGTCTTTTCTGTTGTTGACCTTTTCTGTTGCTGTGCTCTGACTCCTTTTTTTGTTGGAGTTGCATGAGTGGTCTGTTTTTTTTTGCCGGGATGTTCCCTGCTGTTCTGGTTTTTTTGTTTCCTGTCGCTTGCATTTGTTGGCATTTTCTGGCATGTTTGTGTTTTTGTTGCCTTTGTGTTGCTCTGTTTTTTGCCCTTGTTTTGATGGGGTTGGGCTTTTGCCTTGTTTTTTTTTGCAGGTCTGCGCAAGGTTTTTGTTTATTGCTTGTTTACTGGGCCTGTAAGGTGGTTGTGTTTTAGTGTTTGGTGTTTTTCTTGTTGTTGTGGTTTCTTTGTGTTTTTTGATGGTGTTTTGGGGTGCGTTGGCTTTTGCTTTGGCTTTTGTTTGCGGTGCGGGGCAGGTCTTGGTTTTTTCTTGGTTTTTGCTGGTTCTTATGGTGTTCTTCTGGTTTTTTTACTGTTTTTCGTATGGTTGTGGCTTCTTTGTGTTTGTGTTTGTTGTTGGATGGTGGCTTGGTCTTCTTTGGCTTCGGTCCTTGCCTTGTCTGGCCGCTTTTGGTGCTTTGTGGTGGTTTGGTGTTTCTTTTGGTGTCATTGTGGTTTTTCAACGCTTTAAGGCGAGGTGTTTTCTTTTTCGTTTGTGTTTTGGTTCTTGGATTGCAGCTTTGTCCTCTTGGTTTTCTGCTTTTGTTTTGTCTGGCCGTTTTTCCTTCTTTGTGTTTTGGCGTGATTTGTGTTGTGGTCTTTTTCGGCGTGCAATGCTCTCAGGTGCGGTCTTTTTTTTTGTGTTTTTGTTTTGTTTTTTTTTTTTTTTTTTTTCATTCTGGTTTTTTTGGTTTTCTTTGCTGTGTCTTTGTCTTCTTTCTTGTCTTTTGTTGTGGTTTGTGTTTTTTTTTTTTTTTTGATGTTATCTTTTTTTTTCCCTTTGTTTTTTTTGTGTTTTTGTTTTGTTTTGGCTGCATGGGGGTCACCCTTCTCGCTCTTCATGTGCTCCTCTCAGAGGGTCTTGCCTGAAAGCTGCACTCAGAGCAAGTATGAAATGCAAATTTTGTAGTGGTTTCATGCCAGTCCGTCTCCTTTCAACTGACACTGGAGCTGGAGAGCATCTGAGAGCAGCCCAGGAACTGACCTTGGGTCATCCCAAGGAACATAACTGGTACCTAAGTGACCTCAAATGATCACAAGAAAGCAAGTGGGTGATGACAAATTACAGTAGGGCCTAATTCTTGAGCCCTGGGGGAGCCCAAAAGTCTTTTTGGGTATGAGGATGATCTCAGTGGATGTCCTGAAGCATGTTTGGTCCCCAGGTCACTTCAAGGGACACTGTGGGCTCATGGGGACATCTCAGGGGACTTCAGAGAAAGAAATACAGGACAGGATGGGCCTGAGCTGACCTGTAGAGGTAGATTTGGTACTTGGGCATCTGGAACTGACCTCTAGGAGTTAATGTGGTGACATGCAAAGCATTGTGTCTGGGGGCAGAAGAGGTCATCAGTTAGAACATGGGCATCATCTGAGGTCATCAATTAGCACACAGAGTTGCTTGAGATCACCAATTAACAGATGGAGTTACTAGAGGTGTCACCTTTACCCCAAAATTTCGGCTCATGGTCATCCGAGGTCACTAATTAGCACATGGAGTTACTTGAGGTTGTCAGTTAATAGATGGGCTTACTAGAGGTCAACTTTACCCCAAAATTTCAGCTTGGGGTCATCTGAGATCACCAATTATCATATGGGGTTACTAGAGATGATCTGTATCCCAAAATTTTGGCTCATGGCCATCCAAGATCACTAATTATCACATGAGATTACCAGAGATCAACTTTATCCCAAAATTTCAACTTGGGGTGATTCAAGGTCATCAATTATCTCATGGGCTTACTTGAGGTCACCACTTAACAGATAGAAGGTCAAATTTATCCCAAATTTTCAGCTTGTGGTCATCTGAGATGAACCAGTCCTCAACTCTTTGGAGTGTCAGCTGAGGTCACCAAATCAGTGATTCATTTACAACAAGAGTCTCTGCTGAGCATTATACAAAGGCATAAAGCAGATTTAGTGCTGGGGACAGTGTCAAAGGCATGATTAAAAAAATCACAAAACTTATTTTATACCATTGTCATTTATTTCAAACCTCACAGACATGTTCACTATCTCTCCAGCTGCTGCCATCAATTACCTTCATTAGGCCACCCCTTCTGGTCATCCAACACAATTTTAACACTGTATTTTCAACTGCAATACGATGTGAAAGCAAATGCTTGACATTTTCTTAAAATAATGAGAGTAAGGGCAGGAAAAACAGATAGGAATTAACACTTATAATTTTACGGAGGATGCTTTTCCCCAGCCATCTAACTCCTTAACCATGCTCTGTTTAACAAACTATGCTTTCTAAACTTCATTGTCTACTGTGCAAATAAGAACACAAGACACCGTACAGGTGTCATAAATGGTTGTATTCTAAACAGGGGAAAACAGGGCAGATATTTGCAATCTGTGTAATACTACATACAGAGGCCCTGAAAAATTCAACTTAAAATGCACTTTCATCAGTGCAGGAACCTACGCAAAGCCAACTGCAAACCAAGAGTGTTACAGATTACTGATCATTTCCTCTGAGTGCAAACTTCATTGGATGTAACTCATATGAAGCTACAACAGCAGCTGCCATTACAGCTCAGACACATATTTTGTTGCTAGATCTTCTCTGTAGCACAGAATTCAAAACACATTTTTCAACCATGAAAAAGAAAGCCAAACCTTGCTGTGTTGAGATGATCTTGTCTTCAGCCAGGGTTTAGCAGATACATCAGAGATGACTCAGTTCCAGTGAAATTGTGTATCAGTGCAGAGCAAACAGGAGTTCCTTTCACTGCCTCAAGGCAGGAGCGGCTGCAGCAATGAGAATGAAGGTCTGTCTGAAAGAATAAAATTGTTTGATCAGTTCAGAAATATTTTTCAGGAGAAAACAGAAACTGGGGAACAAAAATACCTTTTTTTTTTTTTTGAATCAACTAAAATGTGCTGAGCCTGGCTCAGATTTTAAAAGAAATGAGTAAGTTGTCAACACTCCAACCAAGACACTAGGTATGATTCTTCCCACTTCAGTTAGCCACAGCATGTTCACAAGTGTCTGCTGAGACACAGCTGGGCCTACAAACTGCAAATCCCATGAGGAACTGCTGCTTAAGCTAGTTTAGTGCTGAGCTAATTAATTGTAGGTGGTACATAACTCATGAAATAATGCAGGGATTTATATCACATTCAAAGTCACACCTATGGTCATACTGGTCAGATCAGAGAATACATCAATTCAGTGATTGTGTATTTGGCGTCTTTGGCAACCACAGTCATCAGGATAATGACTCTTTGGTTCATGATTTACTTTATTTGCCCACTCACACCCCTTTAAGTGAAACGCTGCTGCACAATGGCAAAGTCTGACATCCCACTGAGAACCCAGCAGCTCACAGAAATAGGGTTTAATGCTCATCCAATAAATAGATTCTACCTTCTGCTTGCCTCCGATTTCCTTCACAGCTTCCTTCTTTCTGCACTGTTCTCCAGCTTCTCTCCCTGGAATCCAAGGTCCTCCACCTCCTCTTCCACTTTGGGCCAGCACATTCCTGCAGTGGGAACAGGACTCTAGATGAGACAAAAAAGTCCCCCAAAGGAGGGAGTTATCTGCTGGTGCTGTGCTAATGAAGGGCTGTGGCTGATATATTGTAATGCTTAAATAAAAGCAAGAAAGGTATTGCAACCTTGTGCCCAAGGGAACTGGGTTGCTTTACAGAAATAAAAAAAGGGAGGAGATGAATAGGTGAGACAGTATCTCATTATCAGACATGACTTCACCTATAGGCCTTCCTCTTGCCTCACAGCAATGACACTGGCTTTCTTTCACAGCAATTCATGCATTTCAAAGGGCCAACAGCATAAAAGGAATCTAAAAATAGGTTAAAGCCTGAAACCAAAGAGCAGCTGTTTCATTAGCAACAACAGAAGCAGAAGGGGAATGAATTGTAGGACAGAGCTTCCTAAGTGTGCCAAATGACTTGTATTTCATGTATTTTATGCTATCTTACAGAAATTCTTCTAGTATCAGGAAACATTTCAGATGTATAGCAACTGATATAGCTAGAACCTGCTGTGTGTGCTCTCTTCTCCTTACATCAAGAAAGATTACTGGGAATCAGACTCCTGGGACATGACATATATCAGCATTCCGTATTAAAAGACATCCTACAGGATTATCTTGCGCTGGAACAGGAAGTTTGCACCATTGCTGTGTTCTGATATAACAGCTGGACACACATTCTGAACTCCTGCTTATAAAGTATCAATTGCAAAAGGTGGATTCTCTACATCTTACACATCCTTGGACATCTGCACTTCTATAGAGAAGAAATCCTATCCATGAAGATCAATGTTCACCCTTTATCCAAAGCCTCTACAATCCATCACAGGCCAAGTTCTTCATCTATCTCGGAATGATGGCCTGGAAATGAAATGCAAATGGTGAGCAGAACAAAGCATTATTCAGTGACTTCAGTCCAGCCAGGATTCACTGTGTTAGCTGGGAAGATAGCAAATGGAAATGTGTAGGGGTACAGAGATTTTCCAGTTGAGAACAGGTACTAGATTCAGACTGAGCTTAGGGATGGCAGATCTTGGAGCTCATGAGTGTACCATCATTAGACAGCTGGTATGGACACTCAGGCCAGAACTGAGATTAAAATAAATATCCAGCAGAGTTTTACGCCACTGCTAACGATATGGTGTAATAGGGGATGAAACAAGTTGAAGCTAAATCCTTCAGATTAAAAAGCAAGGGAAGGAACAGATGCAGCAACATTCAGGCTTGGAAATGAGAAGTTCAATTCTAGTTCCATTAGACACCCAAATTTATCACAAATGCCTCACTCTTCAGTCTCCATATAACCCACCTCTACGGCCAACTTGCCCTGAGGGTGTCATAATGAACACCATCACTGTGAGAGACCTCACTGCTGGGACAGCTGGGCTTTTTGGTACTTTGCCAGGCAGGGTATGGGCAGCCAGAGACCACTCACAGTGCATGGCATGTGGTGTCATCAAAGAGCTTGTGCAGTTCACTGAGCAGCCAGAAGCTGAGAGATGTGCTATACAGGAATTCCATTCCCATGGAAAACACCACGGTCCCACGTCAGCCGCAGAAAAATGGTGTGGAAGACAAAGCAGTCTTTCATCATTTTTGTACTTCATCCCTACGGACATCTTTGCTGCCTACACCTGGTCCCTGCACATGGGCCACCACTGGGGAATTCCTGCTGTTTTCATCAGCTTAGAAATGCCCAGTATTCCCTCCTGCTGCCTCTTCCAACCCACAGCAAGCTCTCTGTACCATGCAGGAGCAGAGAGGTGTGGGTCACGTGTAGGGGCCTGTCATTGCAGGTCTCACAGTAGAGCACTTTTGAGGTGTAGCAGCTGATATTGTTGCCTCTATGCCAGGGAGCCTCTCTGCTTAGTTTCAGCAAAAGGTAAGGAAGATCGGCAACCTTGAAGGAGCTACAGAGAATTGGCAGGTCTGGCTGCATCAAGAGGGGTCGAGACAGAAGGCCACAAGGGAAAGGAGAGCAGGAAGAGGGCAAGGGAGAGGGAGGAATCTGTCAACAAAACAGCAGCTTTTTGAGAGGGACGGTAACTAAAATTCCTTTTCTTCTTCTGGCTAGATGGAGACCACATCTCCAGATGGAGACCTTATAGACAAGGACCAGTGATACTTCTGACAGCACAAAATTACCACAAGCAACTCAACTGTTCAGCTGCCAAAGTCACACCTGAAAAGATGCTGCTATGTGGGCAAAGACAGCAAAAGAGCTTTCTGCACTGTCTCTCTCACTGCCTGACTCCATTTCAGCCTTGGAAGACACCCAGTGCTTTAAAAATCTACACAGACAGGTGTAGAACGGATCCAAATAAATCAGTTAAGAGATCCACATATGAGCTACTTGGATTAGACTCTCTCCTGAATTGTTAATGGACATGACACAATTCATCACTCAATAAAATGAGAGCTAAAACAGGACAGGTGAGTCATGCCTAAAAATAGCTAACCATCTCCATTAACTAATAAGGGAAGCCTGGAGTGCCCACTTCAGCTGCAGATGTTTGCAGCTGTGATGATGAAACCATCACAGGTTTCTGAGGTGGTGAGAAGTGAATCCCACCCCATCCCATCCCATCCCATCCCATCCCACGTTCCTGTCAGTGGCAGGAACAACCCCTTTTTTTCCAACAGTGCCTGAAGATCTTCTGGGACAAATACTCGTGCTGTGCTTTGCTGCTTTTCTCTCACTTGCCTCCCCCCACATACTTGAGTGTAAAGCCCAGGAACATGACATTCAAGGCTGAGATACACTCCTTTCTCTTTTAAGGTATGTTTGAAATACAGGCCACTCCTGGAGATCAGAGGTACTGAAAGCCAAGGCCTGCAGCCCTGGCTCCATACCCGCAACACTGCAGAAGAGCTAAGTGCCATGTGTCAGATGAGTGGGACAAATCCCTCCCTGGCCATGGCACACAGTGCTGCCTGTTGTTCCTGCCAGCCCCCTCCTGCCATTAATCAAGAGTCAGTCCCACAGTCAGCTCCCAGACTAACCCTTCATTGTGATCCTGCAAAGCGGAGGAGGAGTGGGAGGAAGAGAGATGGTTGCCTTGTGATTATCTTCAAGGGGGGTGGGGAAGAAGAGAGTGGGTCCAAGTGTTTCAGGCCAGGAGGGGTTAAAGGCAAAACAGCCTGGTGGTGGCCTACAGGGATCATTATTGGCAGGAAAGCAATCTTCGGGGCTGAGAATCACATCGTGCTCTTGGAAAGAAAAGCTCCTGTAACAGAGAAGAAAAGACTTGCCCTCACAGGGCCTGACAAAACTAGTGGGAAGACTTGCACACGTTTGAAAGCTTCATTTATCCATGTTGTTAGCATCACCTCCAGAGAGGCTGCAGTGGGGAACAGAGCTGCCAGAAAAGAATGGGAAAATGGTTTAGACAGCACAGCCTCATCCAGAAACCATACCTGACTTCTCCATCAATTCCAAAAATAACAGGGGTTTTTTTTTGCATCAAATCTTCCCACATCCTTCTAATGTCACAGCATTTTTCTCATGATCAGTGCTCCTACGTGACTACACTGGTACCTCAAATCTGTTTTCACCATGGGAGACCATGACTTCCCAGGTCAGGCAGGACACAGCGAGTGCTACTGGAAAAGCCCTCGGTTCACGATCTGGGTTGCCCAGCCCAAATCCTTTTCCTCAGGCAGGAGATGCATGATATTCTTGCTGTGTACTAAGATTTTCATTTTTACTGTGAAGAGTTAGCATTCCTTCTCAGCACGCCTACGCAACTGTTGTTGTCAGGGAACATGTATGGCTACTGTTTGCCTTCCTTGCCCACGTTTCCCTGCTCCCAGCCTTTGGAACATTCCTATCGCCCAAGATAACCAGCCCTTCGCTGAGAATCTCCCAGTGCAGTGTAGTAAATCCTGGTGCTGCCCAGCAATCCTCTGCTGGCATGCAGGAATGAAGGAACAACACTTGCTGTTTACGCTTCAGGGGAACCGGGGACACGATCACAGATATTCCACTTTTAGGTGCCTGTTTGTACATATCTGAACACAAAGAATTTAGTCAAAGATACTTTGGAGGTATTGATAACTTAGCATTGCAAAAATGTAAGGCTTTTGGGTGACTATCCCAACGAGTGCTGTGCAGATCCTTGGTAATTAGCTCTACAAGCACCATCATTAAACTTTAAACTGATATAAAGAAAATGCGCAACCAAGCACACTAATAATAACATGAACCAATTTGTTACACTGAATGTCCCCATAAAGATATTCTTTATAACACCTTTGGCACAACTGGGACCTTGCATAATTAAATTTGTTTTCACTTTCTTACAACTCTAAGCATAACTGGAGATTTCTAATTAGTTACAATTATTCTTTTAAGAAATGTGTTCTATTTAGTATAATCTTGTATTCATCTAGCCAAATGCCATATGTGTTTATTATTATTATCTCCTACTGATAGCTTTTTAACTGAGACATTTTGACCGAGATAAATAACTACATGCCTCCCAACCACAACTCTTTGTGTGGCATCTGCTTTGGGTGGTAAAATAATTTACTATGTGAAAAATAGCAGTTTATGGAGATAAGATAATTTTCCATTCTACTATTTTAAGTAGAGATAAAAATGCAGGCTGATTATCTTCTAAATCTAACATTTCCACACCCCAGCCCACCAAAAGCTGCTAATAAAGTAGCCTCATTAATGAAACTTCCTCACCTAATTGCGTTTCCCTTCTGCTAAGACAGCAAACAAGTAGGCTATGGTTTGCTCTTGATGTCTACAATGCCTGGCTGGCTGGCATGCCCAGGAGCACTTCTCATGCCACTCAGTGGGAGACGCAAGACCAGTAACATCCATTCCCAATAAACCCACCCCAGTACCAGTAAAATACATGTATTGGTCCCCCTCAGTGAAACACAGCCCATGCTCATGTGCTACCTGCGCTCCTGAAACCATGTGGTGCCAATTACAAGAGCAACTACCCAAAAAAACCCCT